TAAACAACAGCATTTGTGAAGACTACTCTTATTTGCTGTTTCTATGCTATTGAAAAGTTCTAAATAAACTTGAGAGGATGAAAGTGGCTGACAAGGGGAGAATATCTGGTCAAAGGCCATAAGGAAACGATCATATGAGTGTATAGCTCAGAAACGTCAATCTCAAAAACATCTTCTCTCGCTGCAGATCATTTGTGAAATACCTTACGAACATTCGACCCATTCTAAAGCTGGCTTAGTCAGTTCAACTTGAGTAAACCACAGTTGGGTCTACGACGGATCAGCTAAGCCTCAGTTGAGCGATTTATCGACATTATTTGATTAATTCGCAGATTATCTTGAAAAGCCCAGGTACAAGAAGTCAAAATATGCTCCACCTCAATGCATGAGCCTATCAATTGACATCAAAAGAATTTTTCAAACTTGTTCGATCTAATGCAGACAACTTTCTAACTCATTTTGTGAGAAAACTAGCTGTTTCTAAACCGCCTCGAAGCTTTGTAACCCGACTCTTTAAAGTTGCCTCGCAACATGAAGATAGCTTGTTATATCGCAGGGTAGTTGTTGATTTAGTCCTTGGCTTTCAAATGATTCGTCCTGAGACTAACTTACGACCCAGTGAGTTCTGGATATGGAAAGCCTCCTACGATCGAACAGGTGCATTTGGTTTCTGCTCTAATATTAGGTTGGCGGATAATTTCTGTTACACTTTTTTCTGAACTTTCTAGGGAATTTTAGAAGCTTTTTGAAAACCCATTGCAACACGCTTAGGACATAGCAGCGTCTCCCCACCAGCATGATTGATGTTGCAAGTGCACTAATGACCAACGAGTTTACGGCAGTTTTGTAAAAGCAGTCAAATTTTACATTTTTGTCTGATCTTTTTCTCTGCACCTACTTGCGCTTTTCCTCTTCCAGAATTTTTTTTTTTAGATCGTTTGGCATTGCCTCTTACATGGAGGCATTCCGGTGTCTCTAGTGTTCCAAAAAGAGGGGTGAAAAAACAAAAAATTCAACAACTTTCCTAAATTTTTCTTTTTATGTGCATCGTATATGATTACAGGAAACATGTAGATAATTTTTTGAAATTTTTTGAAGACGTTTTCTTCGTTGAAATTTTGATGATTGTAAAGATGGCGCACACTGTATTTGGAACGTTCATAAAAGCATGTGTCTGCGTTATCCCCCCCCCCCATATTAGCTAAGCGCTACAGACTATGCCCTACTTAATTACCACATTGTCCGATCTATCGCTCATCACCTAAGAGAACGCCAGCCCTTTTACAAAAACGGGAAGAAATGGATTTTCAGCCACAAAGTGGGTGTTTTGCGCACGGATCGCCGATGCGACGGTATCCTTGTATAGGCCTTTTGACCCTGCCCATATGCCGTAAACATTAGATCTTTCGGAGGCTTTTGAGACTTTCAAGAATTAAAATAAGAAGTGTAACAAAAGTTAATCGACAACCTAATACTTCTTCTCAAAACAAATTATTATTCCACTCCTTCTTTCCACGCACTGCACATTGGCTGCAGAAACTACCTGACTCGGTACTCTCTGCACCTGGCGCTGTCGTATTTGAAAAAGACTTCTAAAATACAGTATGTTATCGTTGATAGGGATTGATGAAAATGAATATTTCTGAACGCAATCCTCTTACTCTTCTTTCCTGCCTCCTGTTCTTCTTAGGTAAAGTATGGAATGATGCTTCGTCTGCTTGATATCTTTTCGAGGGACAAAACCCACTGACTATCTATTAAAAAGAGTACTTCATTCCCTCCCGTTTTACTTCTTTCAGATTTTTGGCAAGCTGAATCTTTCCACCATTCTATCTTCGAAGAAATCATACAACAATGGCTGACTTTGCAGATACATTTTTATACACCTTCTCAAATATGCTATTGTTTTGAATTTTTCTGCTCAAAACACCCTGTTCTTTATCAATCCTGTCAAGTGTACGAGTTAATTACTCTCGTCACTTGATCCCTCTACCCTTGTTTCCTGCTTCTTAACAGAACAAATCCTGACTAGAAGATTTTATCATTATAGCATATGTATATAAAATTGGGGGACATAATTGGGGAGGGGACCACCGAGCACCCGGGGAGTGCCAGCTCATCTGGAGATTCTGGGCACCGCCCAGTTGGCGTGGAGACTGTCGGACCATCTGATTACTCTGCGTCTCGACAATCCTATGCTAGTTTCTTAATTAAAAAATTAAGTTTATATGTAATATGAAATTTCTTTGCTATTTATTTTGAGCTTTCTATTTCGCATTGTTGCAAATCTCCTATCGGAAAATTATTAGTTGAGTATTTACGTGAATTACCAGATCTTATACCTACTCGTTCTACTTTTGTTAAGTATGCCGCATCTTTACATTATTGAACGCTTTTATCTTGCATCTGTTACATTTAAATGCTCAAACACGGGGGAAATGGAGGCGGTCGGTAGAGTAACGGGACTAGATACGAGTGGATTTGCCATATCGCCTAGGTACTACCACCAAAGCGTTCCACTAGAAAGTGGTCGTTACTCGCACTAGGATAACACATCATTATTTTGTGCGTCACTCCGTTATTTTGTGCATGCATCCTGCTACCTATTCTTCATGCATGCGATAGAAGCTTTTAATAATGTTTAAGAGAATCTTTTTGCGCAGATACTTCGCATACTAACATACCACGTTTTCGAATTGATTTACTATAAACGGAACTTTTCAACCTTTTTCTGATCCTTACACAGAAGATTCAGCGATGTGAGAATGAAAGCAAATCATCTGTACATATTTCTTCATATGTATTATCCATCATTCTTTTTAGCGACTCTATTATCTGGCACATTACACTATGGTAATGTATTGAATAAATAAATAACTGATAAACATTGTGCAGAGCTCAGGTGCACCGTGTGGAGGCTGATTTGCTGACATGCCTCGCTCAGACTTTGTGCTTCACGTATATCAATGCATTCGACCCCAACATCGGTTGATGAGTCTCTCACCGCCTACAGCTCATACGACAAGGGGAAAATAGGTACGAACGATAATGATAATATAGCATGATAGTGTACACATAAGATAATCATCTACTGGTTTCAACTATAGGATTCGGCAGAGTTTAGCGGGTGTTACCAGTGTTACTCATGTTCCTTCACGAAGGCTTTCCCAATTTCGAGTGACAGATCTTCGTTTTTGTTTATTGTCGACCAGACTCGTGTTGCCTTCCCTCCTGTTGGGATAAACGCTATTCATTTCTCTATGTGCTTGTCTTGTATATTTGCGATATGTTTGACTCGTAGTAAACCATTGTGTTTCGTGTTGCCAATAAATAGTTCTACTAACAGGACTTTCCTTCAATGCATGGGGTTAAGGATAGGAGGGACGCAGAAAACTCTGCCGTAGCGCTTGGAAGGGTCCAGTGTATATTATAATAAGGATAAAAATATGGCACCAAATTTCGTAAGCGAATGAAGAGAGGTTAGTGGAAACAAAGCATGAAAAACTTATGACAAACTTATTTGAATGGAAGGCGTAATAAGCATTTTTTCCAGAATTTTTGCATAACTGGTGAGTAAAGATGTGATTTCAAATGGGTCGTTTGCAACGCACAAATGACGATATGATATGAAACTTGGTACGTACATGAACACGGGCGTGCGGAGGTTAACTGAGTAATTTCGTTGAGAAGTTATGTGACTGAAGGTTGTGGCAACTTTTTTCTGAAAATTTCCCGTTTCCAAAAAATGGAAAAATGGCTCGTTGCAATGCAGAGACGACGAAATCGCGCGAGATTTGGTGTGTATACGCGCACTACGACTAAGGAACAAAGTATGAAAAAAATATGGAAAACTTAGGTGAATGAAGAGCATGCCCAACTTTATTGCAAATTACGTTGGCAATTGCCCACCTAATGCCCACACGTAAGTATTCCAAAATTATATAAATCTGTTCTACAACTCACGTTTAGTATATAGTAACATTTTGGCTCCAGAACTCCTCCTTTCCTCTTTGTTAGGATCAAGAATAGCAACGACACCGTCTCTTTCGAGGAAGCGCTCCAATCGAACAACCTACCTGGCAGGATCAAGTGGGAAACCGTGAAAATCAATAGTGGCAAAGGCGAAGTCGTTTCACTGATGTCCATTTGCCACCCTCGTGCTGGGCCCTAACCCTGACCAGCATTACGGAGAACCACATTATTATCGCATGTGATCATAACCCTATTCATTGTCCCTGTTCTATACGACCACTAGCACATTCCCGCTTTAAAATAAGATAACAATAAAATCATAGCATCTTGCGTACATAAGAAAAGTCAAATACCTCAGATACTACAGGTATACACTACGCTTCCTACGTTTATCAAACGCAAAAAATGACAAGACAAATGCTAAATTCGAACATTAGGTGAAGGATAAAACAGGCACTTTCAAGGCACAGTAGATGAGAACATCACATTCTTACCGATAGTTTCACGAAAAACGCAAATTGAGAAGAAAACCCATTGAGCAGCATTCTGTTACTTGTCTATGAGATAATCTAGGAGAAAAGAACTATCTATGGGGCAGTGGCGTACCGAGAGGGGGGGGGGGGGGAAAGGGAATGGAAAGATTGGGTCGCCAAATTTTCTAAAAGTTACTTAATTCAATGTGCAAGCGACTTGTTTTTATTTGTGAATAATCAAAATAGTTTTTGAGAGTTTTCAAAAATTCAAATAGCTCCGTAAAAAAAATTTTGGGGGGCATGAGGCAGTCACGCCCCTTCTTCCAAAAAAGTTTTTTTGTCCCCCCCCCCCCTTCCGAACGGAAATCGTGGGTACGCCACTGGTACGGGGATATTACTACACTGAAGTGACTCTATTGAAAGTGACAGCTCATTCTTGTTCCAGCTCAATTAAAACACCACCGCAGTCTTTCGGATGCAAGAAGATTACATCCTTGCCATGAGCTCCAATCTTTGGCTTTTCACCCAGTGTTCGGATGTTTTTCGATTTCACTGTCTGCATCGCCTGAAAAGAAACAATTCTGACGAAATCGACTTTGAATCTGAAGATGGAATGGAAGTCCCCAAAAAGCAAGGAGGTACGTCCGCATATTCTTCCAAAAGTAGCGCGCAGTCGAAATCCAATGCGCATGCGATCCTCCCTCCAAAAAACCGCATCGCGGCCGCCGCGCTGCATCTAATTGGTGAAACAAATGGTTTTCTGAGTCAGAAAACTATTGCACAGATCTCCTCAGTTTCGTTTGAACTCTTAGATTTCGTTCATTTCTAAAATTAACTTATCCACATTAATCTGTCGTAATAGACACTGCGTAAACGAGAACTCGAACTTAGCTATGGAAAACAAGGGAGTTTATTGTTCATTTACATGCGGCGCGTCGCGATGGCGGAGGAAGGCGGGACAACCCCTTCGGGTTCGCCAAATTATGAATGGAGATCCACATTTCAGAAACGGAAAAATAATGTTATTTGTTCTTTTAATTTTTATCAAAACTGCTTCCGCTTTCTACTGACTGGATATCGGGTATACTTTCAACGCAAACCTTAGCGATGTTCTTGACTTCGATGCAGATGTGGTGCATGCCGCCATTCTTGTTTTTGTCCAAGAAGCCCTATGAAAAACCTGTCCATCAATAACCCCGAAAGGAATTAATTGATTTTACCTGGATCGGTGATTTATCTCCGAAAGGATGTAGCAGCTCGAGCTTAGCATTTGGCAATTCCACAAATACGGTATATACACCATGCTCTTTTTGAGGCTAGAATATAAAATTCGTAGAAAGGCGGACAAATGCAATTCATGCTTCGACCATGATTTGTCCCACACAACCTACCACAGCTTCGCTAACTTTAGCCCCAAGATTCTTATAGAACTCGGAGGCTTTCTTCAGATCTGGAGTCGCAATGGCTACATGATTTAGCCGACCAAGTATTCCCACCAGTGGATTCGATGCAAACGCCTTAAAAAATGATATATCCTGAAATACCACGAACTGGGTGATGCGGAAGTGCAGGCATCAATGCATTTCTTTGCTTACCCTTACTGCTAAAGTATTATAAACAGGGCGGGCAAGACCAAGCACTTTCAGCGAATTCATCTGAACACAAACAGGAGGTGAAGAAGCTCAGCGTTGTCTCGCAGCACAGAACGAGCTTATCATCAATAATGTTCACACCGTAACGAGAAAAAATGAGAAACATCGAGAAGCCGCACAGGTGACAAAAGCCACGTAGAGAAGAACAATCGATGGTATATATGTGCACATATTTGGCCAAATATGTACATAGGACATCATTTAGGATGAGAACAGCCTTCACTATTATTCCGTTAGAAGACTCATGGCTTTATCATTTTAATATGATTAATAGTGAGTTAGATTTACGAAAGGTGAGGTACTCAACTCCCCGGCTGTCGACATTCAGGTCACAAGAGAGGATAGGCAATTGAATAGTTGAACGAGTGTTTTACACTGTGGACATGCAGAGGACACCAAAAAGTTTGTCATTCCAGAGAGACTGTTGAAACCCTTGATGCGACAGCCGGCAGTTGTCAGCTGGATGGATTTGTTTAGAGTTTTATGGTTGAGTAGAAGAGAATTAGAGCAAAATCTGAAAATGTTTGGAAATTCGATAAGTCCAGTGATATGGAAGTGATGTATTTGCGTAATGTGCTTCCTAAGCACCTAAAGCAAAGGAGTCAAGTCTAAGAAAATACAAAATACAAAAACCAAGAAAAACGGGATGGCTAAGCACAGCGACCGTATTCTCAAGCCTCTTTTTAGAGCTGATTCCAAAAAAATACTAGGCACATCAGACTTTCGAGATAACTTTAGATACACGATACAGTTCAAAGCAACGAAACAAGTGCGTTCACCCTCACAAAAAGATTATCTAGCCGACTTTTTTTTAGTCTGGTAGTAGGTTTGCACGACAGGACTCTGCTGGGTTACGGTAAGTGTGGGTTTGGTCGTTCTCATAAACGGTGAAAATTCATTTTTGCCTCTGTAAAAGCAAAATTCTCAAGGAAGTTTGCGGCATGTTCAACCCTATCAGTAAGTCATACAACCCATCTAAACATGGTTCCAGCTAAAAATAATTATTTCTAGCGAACTTCGTAAATTTGGTACGGTAGATGAAAAGGTGCTATCTGTTAATGTGCAAACTCATCTCTATTTTTCCAAAAGCCAGGAAAAAGTAACTCAGCCACCCAGAAAACTTGTAATGACTTCACTAACTTTTCTGAGATTGAGAAAGAGAAACTGTTGAGTTCAGACCAAAAACAACAGCAAAAGTGCAAATAAAATGTTTTTGTTTCCCATCCGATAATGCTGAAATCCATAGCTTAAAATTCAAAGCGAACAAATGCTTTCAAATAATTATTTTCCTGGAAAGCACTGCATGACAGGTAGGAAATCGAGGAAATCGAAGTTAGAAAAGTACGCAACGATGGATGGCACGTAATATAGGATATAATTCCTGAAGAAGACGGACTGCAGCCACGTAGCAAGTTAATACTGATGAAATTCTGTCCTTGACGATGGAATTGTGACCGATTTTCTCTTTGGCCTACGTGACTGTGCAAGGATTTGTTTTTCTACAAACGGCTGAACCAATGTGCCTATCATGGAATTTGGAATGATCGATTTCGACAATCACACCATTTCAGAATCAAATTGTGCTGGTAACAATATAGCAGAAAACTGTCACTAAAATAATAACGGGGATTTATGTATTCATCCATAATTTGCTGTTAAAATGTTGTAAGCACAAATGAGATCAGTAAGATAGTCAGTTCTCATAAAAATATCTTCAAATTTAGAGAAGGTCGCTTTTTATGCTAGAGAAGGAGGGTCGACATTAATAAATGCATGCACTGCAGTGTTTGAAGAGTACAGTGATCTCAACAATTTGACCACAAAAGATTCGCATAGTTGGCCATCCACGCAGAACTAAATCTACAAAAAAATTTCCACCTCGAAAATGCGAACTCAGTGAAAAATACCTCGAGAATGCGAACTCAGTGAAAAATATCCTACAGAGCTAACTAAGTCAGCCATTAGTACACATGAAAAATATTTTATCTAAAATAATATGAGAAATAAAATTAGATTGAAAATAGAAAATCGTCACACATCAATTTGTGGTTTCTTTTGCTGAGCCTGTGATTTCTAAATCTAGGACACCGGGTTGCTATCCTCGGGGTTGTACTTCTCAGGTGTAGTAATGATGATGGGATCCCAGGTTTGCGCCCGAATTTCATTATTTTTTCCTCATTTTCTAGCCATCAAAAATCACAACAAGTATGCATAATGAATATTCTTGCCTACTGCACATTGACCACACATGAGCTTGGTAGAACTGATTGAAGATTCGCTTTTTTTTAAAGAGAGCTTCAAACTTTACTTGGCTCGCGAATTATGCGATTATCTAGGGGTTACCTTGTAAGCTTGCTTTGCTTATCGAAATTCCTCTCAAACATTTTTGATGTCCGAATTGTTGCGGTGACTAAAAAGCGACTATAGGTATTTTCCCAATCTCAAATTACTGAATGAAAAGAAAAATAAATGCTTTTCAGCAAGCTACATACTGGAAGTCATCTATCGCGTATTGAAGGTGCTACAAGTTTCTAAGGAAAACATAGAGGAAGGAAAATGTATGAAATAGATCGAATTTTCGTAAACAAAGAAATTTATAAGGTTCAAGAAGAAGATGACGTAAACGAGCGCCTGAAGCAAAATGAGGCGATACAGGTCCCTCATTAAATAAAAAGAAGAGGATCTCTGCACAGAATGGGAAGTAATGAAATGATAGGAAAAGAATAATATGGAACCAAAAAATGACGAATTTTCAGCCCGTGTATGCCAATGACGGGTGAAGATGATTGGGAAGACGTAATTTATCTTATGTGCTAATGCTCATTTCAAACGAGAAGCAAGATTTGATCTGAGTCCTAAAAAGAGATGACTCTGCAACTCTTGAAAAACTGCATCGAAAGCGATTACTACAGTATGAAGGAGCTCTCGGCCACACCTCTTCTACTGGTAATCGAGACGAGGGAGCGTTAGAGTGTGATTAGCGACACAGCTATCGTAAGCTGACAGAGTATCATCTTGCACTGTCAATAAACTATGCATGAACTCGTAAAGTCCTTCAAAATCGGCTGGGAGACATAAGCGGAGCAATTCTGTGATAAATCTTACGTGACCGGCCACCTGTCAACTCTATAAACGACTAGAGGTGCCCGTAGCAGTTTCCGTGCGAATCAACACTCTCTTTCGGAAGTGTTCCGCTGAAACTACAACGTCATCAATGTGAACGGGGAGAAAAAATTGTTCGCTCGCCTGGCAGACGACACTGCACTTGGTGGAATGATCCTCGACCACACCGCCGTCTGTGTTGTCGACGTGCAAAACGGCAATAATTGATTAGTTGAATTTTACACATGCGATGCTGATAAACACCACACAATTGTCAAAGACGATTTAGCGCTGAACTTTGGAGGAGTTGAGCAATCAAAGATGATAAACTGATCTACAGCACCTGATGATTTGTTGCGCGTTAGGACTTCATATTCTAAAAAAAAGCTTACCTCCATTGTTGCCAGGTGGTTGACTGCCAACCACCTTTTAAATCTCAGGAAGTGGAGAACTTTTCGGGAACACAGAAACTTGAAGATTTTACCGGCAAAAAATTCTGAATTAGATTATGTACGCGGCGTCAGATTCACAAAACATCGTCGCGGTCTAAATGCTGTCACTGCGTAAATACGTTCGACAAAATCTCAGAAAATTTTCAAAAGGGAAAACTTTTTAATTTTCTTTCACTTTGAGATTTTACATAAGTGTTTGTTTTGCTGAAGCGATCACCATTGGCCAACTACTCAACAAAGGGTTTTTTTTCAAATTGCTTCCTTCTCCAAAGCATCGATTTGCAAGGGGAGAGAGAAAATCGCCGTATATAAAATCGTCTAGATACCTTTTTGATATAGTAAGGATAAATTATTCTGTGCGAAGTAGGTGAAGAAAGTGAAGTCGAGTTTCAACGTTTAAAACTTCAGTCCATTTGGAATATGGACTTCAATCAAAAAGTCGGTATTTGTGCATGTATTCAGAATTTAGAAGAGAATAGCAAGTATTTTGGAAGGAGTCACAGAGGCACTGGGACATTTATCACTATCTTTTGCCGCCATTAGCAACTTTTTCCACCCTTATCTTCCTATTCTTCCTTACTAATTTGTCAATCTGCACGTATAACAGGAGCGTCCATCGCTCAACTCATTTGCATTTGATTTGTAATATCATCTAACTTTTCGTTTAGAGTAGCCATGGGGACTAAAATGTCTGTTTCGATTGAAAATACAATGCATCCCGAAATAGCACCACGAGTCGATCGCCCACCCACGTTTGATCCCCAAGCTGGATTCGAGAGGCCGAGAAAGGTAAGTTCTAGCAAAAACATTCTCTCTGCAACTTTTATGCAGACTTTGCTGATGTCTTATCAAATTTAAGCCTTTTTAGGTCCGAGAAATGAAGGCCACGTGGGAAGAAATGAATCAATATGATTTGAAGCCAGGCCAACGGGATTATTGTGCCCATCATTTAATCGCCCTGATCAAGTGTCAAGTGAGCTGCTTGCGAAAATCCTCTCTCTTATTTTCTGAACTCATTCCTTCCTATGTACCGAAAACAGCTGCATCTTTTTTCAGAAACAGTACGCGCCTTTCGCGGGACACATGTGCGATACGGAGCGAGGTACATGGGACAAGTGTGAATACGACGACTATATCATGCGCATTAAGGTAAGTTATTCCACTACTTCCCAAATTTTCCAGTGGTTCTCTCTTATTTTCTAAACTCATTTGGGCTATTTTCGTTTTTATGTCTTCAAATCAATGTTATTACATGTTTCTTTCCCTCAGAGGTTTTGAATATAACCTTTTTGTTTAAAGACAGGATCCTTACCGTTTTGCAGGAGTTTGAACGTGAGCGACGACTTCTGATGCGAAAGCAACGCAAGGAAATGGCTTCCGCCTAAACTATGTAGATTGAGGGTAGAATAGAGAAGTTTGCCTGGATCAAGGTTTCTATGAACTGCTTGTGGCTGCATGTAGAGATAAACTTTTCTTCTTGCTTTGTTTATCGTGTACCCATCAGCTCCATCGATATTATACTTGCATAATTTCGAATAGCTACTACAATGTTTGCTCGTCAGGTATGGAGAGGTTAGCAGAAGAATGTGAACTGAATTGTACGGAAGAGAAACAGATTCAGGTAAGGCTTTGTATTTTTCATGGTATGCAGTAATTGCTTCCTTTTGTGTTTCTTCGAACAGTTTCCCAGAGCTGTCCTTTAGTCCCTTTTACTTTGGAATTTTTTGAGCGTATAGGTTCCCACATTTTGGCTCATTGTCATGTTCCATTCTAAAGCTTGTGTCACTGCTTATTACGCTTGTAGTAGGAGCTGGAGAATTACTCACTCTGTGAACACTGCGTTCCTTTCTGAGCTGGCACTGACATTGTTTAGGTTATTGAAAAATGCCTTCCATTAGTTCGAGCAGATCGCGACAACAAAACAATTTCGTTAGGATACCTTCTGCTGACGCGGATTCTTGAGAAGTATGTGGATTAAATAACCTTGTTTTCTGTATATGTTTGTTGAAATTCTTGTTCTTGAAGTCTGAAACTTTCTGCTAACAGAGTGCGTAATTAAATTAGCATCAAAAACTATTTTAGATGTAGCCCGCAGTGCCTACGAGCTGCTCAGTCTAGACTGGGAAAGAAATTGGTGGATGTTAAGAATAATGCTACAGTATATGGTGGACTCTTCTTGAGGCAACTGCTCATACGTAATCCGCAGGTGAGACAATGTCGCTCCACTTCACTTAGCCCTTGTTTTCATGCAGTTCCTCTGTCTGTGAACCAGTCCTTGTATTCAGGTGGGAAATCTTCACGCTGATGTGATTTTCAGTATCATTATGCGTCTGATCGATATGGCTCTGAGCAGCAATGATGCTATTTTGAGGCACGTTTACCATTCATTACCATACACTTATACGTTTACATCTGCTTGTGATTTGGTAATTCTCGTTCTTTACCTTGGGTACCATATTTGTTCTTGATCTTCTCAAACATTGGCTGAAAATGATTGTTTATTTTTGAAGTAACATGTAGCTCAGTTTGTAGGATTCTTGATGATGCATTAAAACTCATAGGTAGTGAGCATGGTTAGGAATACTACGCATTATGTTTGAGTTTGCACCTTTGGTCTGGGTCTGCTGCTTCGAGAAAGGAATGCTGAAAGCATTTCGAAGCGGGGCGTCTCATTTTTTTCCAATATTTTCGCTTTCGTCAATATATCTCAAGGTTATGTCATAAGTCTTCCTTCATTGTAACTTGGAAATTTTGTGTAAACTGTCGGTATTTTTGTCTATCTCTCAAGGTTGATTCTTGACCGAGCTCATACATGTGGGCAGAACTTGCGATTGCATGGACTTCTTTTAATTTCATTTGTGTCTTGCTTTTATAAAGTAGGATTTTAAGAGACTCGGACTTATTAGTTATTCGAGGTATGCTAGTGCACGTTGCATTTGGCTGCATAGGCTGCCACTTCATTTGTATGCATGATAACTAAATGAAATTCTAGAGATCTAGCCATTGAAATCTACTCCATTCGTTATGGATGTGATGATCAAATGTTGGAAAGGCTTTTGAACACGTTGGCCGCTTCGTTAACCCCAAGACTGGTCTCTCAGGAAGAGCGTAATGGTACGTGCAGATTTTGGTAATATTTGAAGTTGTTAAAACAATAAGAAACAGTTCCATAGCCACAGCATCATTCAGGAATTCTTCCGTTGAAATCATTTGGTCTTTCCTCGTTGCGTGAGGATCTGTGCTGCCTTCTCTTCGATACGTACTCATCAGCGTTAGCTTATGCAAAGCAAGGTGAGTTTCCTGTTTTTTTTTGAAGTTTATGCTTGCTATAATTCACTACAAATTCAAATTCGCCTGGTCTGACCATAAGATACACAGCGTCATTCCAGCTCAGTACATCGTACGAGGTGTTCTTTTACCTGTACTTGAGAGTGGTCTGAACGATGAGGCTATCCGAGATTCTTCTTTGGGAACTATTCGTTCGCTTTGCAGCAACTGCGGAAGCGCACTATTACCTATTGTGAGTATGATTTTTGCTTTGATGACGAACAACACCATTCGTCCTAGATTTCCCGCATTATAATCATGCTCATATCGAAGTTGGATAAACCAAACAGCGCTTTGTTCGAAACGCTGGCGCACATTTGCCGTCTGTACGGACCTGGATCCACTCTATTCCGACACTTTTATGTTATTTTTGGAGCTATGAGACATCCGTTGGATGAGCAGGTGTGCTATAGCAAATTGATGTTTGGAGTTCAGTGAAATCATTATTTCTAGGAGTATGGCGAATCTGCAGCTAGTGTGTTAGCAGCAATCGTTGAAACATCGTCCTTTCTTGTGAAACCAGAGGTGTAAATGACCTTTTATTTTCTATGTTTTTGTGAATTCATGTGATTTAGTCTTAAAATAGACAAGTTTATCATTCATCAGCAATCATCCAGACTACAAAACTCATACCCTGTTTGTCATTTAGGTTTTGATGTCGGTTCAACGAAAGATTTGCGAAGAAATCATAAAGAATCCTAGTTCTCCCTCTTACTGCAGAATTCTGATCGCATTTCTGAGCTGCACTCACGAAGTTGTTCCTCCTCCTGTGCATGTGAGGCTGTAACCTTTGTCAATTCCGATTTTGCTGAACCATTAGGTTTTCAGGTTGCACGAACAGTTCTAGGAAGATGCGTTGATCCACTTCAGTCGCAGCATCTCCGCGCTCTTTGCGATACTATCTCTAGGCCGCGAATTCAGGTACATATCAGTTATGTCTTATCACTATGTTAAAAAAAACATACCGGCTCTTTTTCCGCAAGTCTCTTCTAAGTGAGAAATGGAAGCGGCATTATTGTATTAGATGCCCTCCTGCAGTTTTAGTATACTGGCAGTTGTAAGTTGCGATGTTGCTATATGTACCACCAATATTTTTGTGGAAGCACAGCTTTTCAGAAGGTCATGACCAGAAATACCAGCTCAGAATTTGTTCTACCTCCACTTTCAATTTTTTCCGCCATCTCTTTTCTTTTCAATTTTGCCATATGACGATGCTTGCAACAGTCTTGGTGAATCTGACTCTCTGTCAGTTCGGCAGCTCTTGATTGATTACGAAAATAAAGTCATTAAAAACTCTCGATGAATGCTTTCCTGATTGTCGCTTGGTATCATTGTGAACTTGCAATCATGTTTTTCTGCCGTAATTTTCTACCTTATCGACTGAAATCTTGACAAAATCGGATCAAAGCTACCATGAGCAGTACCACTTTGCAGTCAGATCACCATAGATCCTCCAAGTAAATCATATTTGGAAACAAATTTAAATCCTGAAGTTTATAAACTGTTTTTCGACTCATCTGGTATATAATGAATTGTAAGGTGCATTCAAAAATCATCAGATAGCGGGAAACCGAGCGGGTCTCGAAGCGAGCGCGCCTTCTAGCACCTTTGAGATTTCTGGTTCACTAGTTTTAGAATCTGGCCAGCCATGAAGTGATACGTCGTTGTGATGTAGAAATGCAAGAGTCGAGTGATCATCTCGAGAAAGAGCAGGCATGTATCCGTTTTTCTTGAACTACTCGTTTAGAGAGAGGTTTCAGTCGAGCAAGTCAATGGGAATTGGTAACGAAGAATCAGTTCCTCTTCATGAACATATTGAAGAAGTAAAGCAGAGTTCAATTGTGTGCGAAGAGCTTATGGACGATACGGTTGTTGAGATTCAGAAGACAATGATAGAAGCAGGAACTGAAAAGTCTGTGGTTTTGGAAGAAGAAGATAAGGCACACAAGGAGATGGTACCTTCATAAAATACAATCTGCGCTTTTTGCAACTTAATTCAGAAACAGCAGATGGTGACAGTCCCGGATATCAAAATTAGTAATCCTTCTTCTACCGCAAGTGATTTACCGAGTTCATCAAATGCCAGCACCACAGTAAACTCCGCCTCAAGAGTCGAAAGCACTTCTACAGAGGAGCCTGTGTTGAAAAAGGCAAAGTTTATGAAGAAGAAGAAGAAATCTGTTGAGGTAAATAGAACTGTAGTCTAGGTCGATATGATTTCTAATTAGCGTTTTCAGAATACCATGTTAGCTGAGGGTGAAGCATCTGTCGAGGAAATCCTGAGTACATTCTGCCCTGAGTAGTGTGTATTGATGGCTTTCTGAATGTTATTCTTTACATTGTTCATTGTTATTGTTGTCATCAGTAAAAACCATGAATGCTTAGTTTATTTCACGTTTGAGACAGGAAAAATTTTCCAGTGCCGTCAGAGTTGAATGGTTGATATGTTTAGTACCTTGCGTAGATGACAACGCTGAGCTTGAGAAATATCAATGGGAGTGACTTGGAAATGTGCTCGCTGTGGGATTTTTTACGAGTGAATCTTTTCGGCGTTACGAGCATAGCAAATCTTATTTTATCTCAAAAATCAAGAGGTTTTCAATTACCGTAAAACCGAATGTCGTCCAAAAATCCTGCAAATTTCCCATTTACTCATCATATAAGTAGCAAAGTAAGTAAGTACATCAGTTGCTGGATATTTTTAAGGCGCTTGAAGAACAGGAACAAAAGTAAGCTAGTTCGAAAAATCGCATTTCCAGATCTTTTGTGCTAGATATGATATTCATGGTTACACTTCAAAAGGTTGCGTGCAATCATATATGTGAGACCAGCGCGAAGTTGTGTTTGGCAGTTTTTGGCTATTAATGTTGATTTATATAAGAGAGGAATATGAAGCGAATGCATGTAATAAATGTGTGTGTGTTTATATTCGAAGTGTAGGAGGTTTGTAGTTTTGGAGGCATTCAATGTTTATAAATTTTGGCTTCAAATTTCACGCAGATCATGATTTACGCGGGTAGAAGGTACTATTCATTCTTACAAGGAATGCATGCTTAGTCGAAGTGGCCTTTTCAGGTGGGATGTACACCATACTGAAGGGCATAAAATGGTGATTCCAAATTTGCCTTTCTTATCTGCAGAACGTTCACGGACGAGAAGTTATGAGCATTTTTTGGAGCCAAAAATTGAATGTGCATTTTGGATAAAATGAGTTGCTAAAATCTTAATAGCCCTCAAAAAATGCAATCAAGAGTGGTATATTCTTTATTTTAGAGTGTGTTTTGATTAGAGTGCTCTGATGATCATTACTGTTACATTGAAGATTTGGAAAAATCACTAGGCTATTTTTGTCCTACTTGCACATTCAATGTTTTGCTCCAAAAAGCGCTCATAACTCCTGGTCCAAAAACGTTCTGCAGATGAGGAAGGCAGTTTTGGGATCAGCATTCAATGCCCTTTAATATGGTACACATCTCATTTTTAAAGGCCATTTCGACTAAACAAGCTTCTCTTGTAAAAGAGACGAGCACACTTTGCTTACGTCTGATTAACAAGTTCATAAGCGCGTCCTGACGCGTTTCGAATGATTTATTACTGTAATTAGTGAAGGAATATGTTCGAGCTTGTTAAAGGCAGCGGCTCGGCAGATTTTGCACTTCCATCTTTTTGCATGCTTTGGGCCTTCTCGACCCGTAGATCCCGAATCTGGGCTTTAAAAGAGGTGAAAAGCCTTTTTCGGGGCGTTTTTTTCAATTTCCAAAAGGCAGCTCGGACGAGAATTTTTCAAAGGAGAGTCGGGAGGACCTGGCACGAAGACCCTGGTGCCTGTAATTATGGCTTTGTATAGCATGCACAATGCGGGAAAGCGGTTGGGGGGTCCCGCGCCGTCTAGCGGAGAATACTCGTCCGAACAAGGTGTTGGGGGAGCGAAAGGAGGAAGGGGAGCGACGCTTGGGCCGCCCCCCTGGCTTGCAGAGTTTACATTTTCGGCCCGGAGTTGCTCTTTTGGTTCACTTGGAGGGCCTCCTATCCATCTGTGTCAAAATCTAAGGTAGGTCTATTCTGCCGAGCCGCTGCCTTTAACAGCGAATTCGAGCATGTTTTTTTCACAATTTTCAGATGATAATCAATAAAAACACATTAGAACACGCTTACGAACTTTTAGACGTACGCGAGGCGTGCTCGAGCATTTTACCAGGGAAGGCAGCTTGGTCGAAGGCCATATGGGAAGTGATGCTGGGTAGACAGCTCTTTAAACCCTGATCTCGAAACTGCTTTCGCTTGCGAAGCATTTCTGTAAAAGGAGTTATGAGCCTTTGTTTTCCCCAAAATGGCCTTCAATTCGCGGCAGGGAATTTTGTTGTGGCGGCGTGGTGTAGTGGTGAATGGACGCGGTTTACAGATGAATGAACATGATTCGAGCTTTGTTGTAGCCCAGCGTTTTCGTTTTTCTAAAATTATTGCTTGCCTTTAAAAATGCCACATAAGGACGGCTTTTTATAGTGTTTTTACACTATAAAAAGCCGTCTTTATGTGGCAGCCTGTGCGTTGATAATCCAAAACGTGCTTATTCTTGCCGACACTTGTAAAATTGACGAGAGATTGGCTGTTCAAATTTTATGTCTTTTTTGGACTTTCCCAGAACACCTTCTTATCTGTAGCTAAAAAGGTGTTCTACAGTTGACCACAAAAATTGATCAGCTGTAGCGAGTTTGCGAAACTAGTTTCAAAAAAAAATCAAAACTACTGGGCAACAACAGGACCCGAAATCTGTCCACTCGTCTGTGAACCCCATCCGAACACCGCTATACCACGCCGCCACAACAAGAATGCCTTGCCATGCTTTGATAGAGGAAAGGCCGTTTTTGGGAAAAACGAAGGCTCAGACTCTTTTTACAGAAACCGCAGATAATGAAAACAGATAGATCAGCGTTCGAGGGACTATCTACTTATATGCATCAATACCCTATGGCCATTTCGTTGAGTTGTCTAGACTCCATCTTTGCCTCCAGACTCATTTGTGAGAAGCTCCGTACATTTGTCCAAGTGAGCCCTGCTGTTAATTTGCACTACCGTAAGCATCGACATAAGCAGTGCGTACTGTAGAGGGGTAAAGGAACGAACTCGGCTAATAGGCGTCGACTACCGATTTTCATACAGTATCATTAGCAACTGATACGGACCCTTATGGAGCGACGATGACTGCCAGACGTTCCTCTACTAGCAGGTCGAGTCAGACACACTATTAATCCTCCGAAAAAAGCTCTAAACCACTCTACCATTTATTTATAGGCGATTCATTGCACGCACAGACTGGACGAAAGAGAAATCGATCAGAGAGACGCCGACAGAGTCCGTAGTGACACCTTGTCTATGCGTGCCATGAATCGCCTGTATGTTTGTACCCCACCGTAGTGGCGCTTTAAGAAGACTGTATGAGATCTCAAAGTTTTATAGACCCAAGATTATTGAGAAGGGGCAGGATAGTCATGTGGATTTATTTTTTGCAAACTGGTGTCAGCTTTTGAATTCTCCAATCGTATTCTGAACCTGTCGACCGAGAAAATGTGAGCTCCAATGTTTTTGATTTCTCACATATTCAATCTACAGTTTTTCAAAGCCTCACTCCATGTGGTTGTCTGGGAGAATCAATCAACCACCTTCGATGTTTACCCAAGATGTATTGTTGTGATGAATGACTGGTAGAATGTTATTGCTAGGTTGAATGAGAGTTCATTTGTTCAATTACGTTGCTAGAGCAGTGCCTCTCTTCCAAGATGATGTCCAAAGCAAGTCAACTGCAATGAAGCGTCTCGCAGGCTTTACTATTCGACCTTTTTCAGCTGTTTCTCGGCAGATTCTTCAGAGACAGGAGGAAAAAACGAGAAGGTACGATCATAAGATATCGTTGAAAATCGTGTTAGTTCTCGGACATAGTTCAAGCGATTTCATCGCCTCGCGATTCTCCCAACAAGGCAACTTTTACGTGTCCCTGCATACCCATCCTCCTGCATGTCGGTCGCGAAAGTTTTCCGACACAACTAATCGTGGCTGACTATCGTAGCCAAAATACAAGGTGATAGATATGCAATGAACTTGTGGCAGCTAGTTTGTTTGGAGTATCGTGAGGCGGTGAAATCGCTTGAACTACGGGGCCTTGTGCAAAATGAGAAATCGTTAAAGTGAAAGGTTATAAAGTGATCATCAAATTTTCCTTCGATGCTAAGTAGCACTTGATCTTTGAGAGAAGGATCGGCATTCGAAATCATTGTCAAAATTATTAATCGTGCGCCAACCTTTTCAAGACGAGTAAACGGATTGTAGCGCGGTGTTAGGTGCCCCTAATTTGCTCTTGTACCAAATCATCAAACCCGGAAGGCTGGGCAGTTCTGTTCACCCTGAGTGCTATAGAATTTTAATGCCAATTATCCCACAAGTCCAAACACATTTTTTGGCCAGAGGTACCCGTGAGTACGAAAATCGACAATAAGTAGCCTTCAAACTGAGCAACTTGATCTCAAGGGGCATTAGGATGTGGTCGGACAGCTCTGACAATCTCGAATTATAATGATGAATTCGGTATCACATCAACCATGCTAACACCAAAGCCTTCACTTCTGAGAGTGAAAAGTTAGAAGGTGGTGAGTCTTGGAAGTATGATTGGTTCCAAGATCGTGTAGAGGCGGGTTACGGACTTTCCCTGATTATAAGGATGGAATAATGCTTTTTCGTTCTCTCTCGCTATCAAAAACCGCCACGCTTTGAGCTGCCACGACTCCGCCTCTGTACGGATCGTGAAGCCGATGATATTTTGAATCAATCACGACTGAATACTACGACATCACGATTGAACGTTGTCTTGCTGATATAAACGGGACCCTTCACTTGCTCCTTCGAATCGGTGAAACGGCGCACCGATCAGAATTGGGGAGATTCAAATACCGCCTCTGGTAAGCGCTAAAACTGCACGATGCCGAGACAGTGTGCCCGTTGGATTGAACTGCTTCATACCATAACAAGAGCCGTATTCTGCGCGGTAGATACATCGCCGTCGTTTGCAATTTATATAAGAGTACACAGGGCGTGTGGTTCTGCCTCACCTTTCACTCTGTGCATCATGGGTAAACAATAGTAATAACCATGGACGCTTCAAGTGTCGTTTGAAAGAAATCGAACTGGCATCTGAACGGCAAGAATACCGAGGATGCGACAGCAATATGGAAGAAAGCTTATTCGAGTAGGGATTGTGCCTGAACGTCGGCAAGATAGTGTGGTACTTGTAGGACTTGACCACCAACGGGTAGCCCTCCATAAGGTAATCATCAAACTTTAGCAGACTTGTGGCGGATTAAGATGCTTGCTTGTTAATAGATTATCTGCTTATTCAAATTAAACAGTGCCTAGCTCATTCCTTGTGGCAGTCGAGTTGCTTGCATTAGAGCAATGAGATGATGTGGATGGCGAACGAGAGATGTTGCTCATCTGGGTAATAAACAAACTTCTTACACTACGGCAGCACAACATAAACGTCAAAGAAAGTGTCTGAACGAAAAGTCGATTTTGAGATCTTGTGCTGACTCGGGCCTATTCGCTATGCTGAACTCGAAAATCCACACTGGAGAGGGCGACAACGGCGGAAAAGGGATCTAATGCAGAAGCGAAATTGATGGACGCGGTCTTCCCCACTGTGAATTCACGCTCCTAGCTTCCGGAGAGATCTTTTCGGTTCCGATTTCGAGTCAAGTGTTCGCACTTGTGCGATCTAGAAGATCGCTGCGGAAGCTGGGAGCGTGAAGTGGGGAAGACCCCGCCCACCACCTGATTACCCATCTGCGTTAGAGCCCTTCTTCGCCGTTTTCGCACTCTCTAGTGTAGATTTTAGGAAGCATAGCGTTTTGGCCCTGGTAAAAAATCTCAAAATCGACTCTTTGCAGGGACACTGCCTAATTTCCCAATCGTGTGATGTATGCTCCGGATGCAACGTGCGTTGACGTTGACTAAGGTGATAAAGTTTTGGAAGATCATCTGCTAGAGTCCACACATGATTTAGAAGATGAGTCAGTCAATTTTCTCGCGAAAAGCAGTGGTAAAGTGCTGGTATCAAAAGGCGCACTGAAATATTCTAACAAAGGTCAGGGCGAAGGTGCATACAACATGACCGGGAGGTAAAGTAATGATAAAGTAGTTAGGCAGTGCCGACGATGTCGTACACACCCTTTCATATATCCAAGAGGCTTGTGCCCTCATATTTTAAAGCATCTGTCAAAAATTTGCGTAAATGCTAAGAATGAATGTGTCTAACTCGAATTATTGCCAAAAATTTGCCCGTTTTTAGTCCAAATTGGAGTAACATTATTCATGTTCAACATTGGTTGAGCGCTATTCATCAACTTGTGTAGAGAGCGAAGCTCAGGTGGATGACCACGCTTGGCAGCAATTACCGTTTTCTGTCCTGAAGTGCTGAACTATGACAGCACAGGGTGATGTACTGGAACAATGAAGTTCTTCTCAATTCAGACTTCGTTCAAGGGCCCTCGCTTCTCCTACAATTATCCAGCAAGAAAAGCTCTAGCCTTAGCTTTGAAAAAGCTTTCGGTTTTTTAACCCGAATGAACATCAACGTCGTGACCAGCACGCGTAAAAGACGCAGAATGCTTTGAAAATAAAAGGCTTTCACGTTGAAAAATTCTTTTTCAACTTTATATAACGCATCTTTTAGGAACTGGAAGTGCTGAAAAAGTAAGAACAGTAAAGCCAAGAGCACCAAAAGTTAGTAAACGATAATGGCTTACTCCAATCTCTCGCCTTGCAGCATGTATTTGAGATGTTCAGAAAGATTTCATAACAACCGTGTATCATGAAGATGTGGTCGGTGAAGCTCTACAAGAACAAAAGAAGTCTTCCTCATCTGCAGTTGCCGTTGGCCTTCCTAAACCGTCACCAAAGGTCTGAAGCGGACACTCGGCTATTATTTTTCCATGGTATGTTTCAGCAGCAGCAGCAGGAAAGCGACGTGAAATCATCATTAATTCGATCTCCTGTAGTAGATAATAGAACTGCTTGGGCTCAGAACATAATAACAAAACGGGTAAAAAAGACCTTTTCCACTAAAACACCTTGAAGGCAGCGGCTCGGCAGAATTTCGTTTTCCAGTTCTTCACTTTTCGGAGCTTTCTTGCGATGAGGAACCCATATCTGGGCTTTTCAGCGCATGAAAATGGAAAAAATGCGCTTCCGAAGCCTTCTTAGGTTCGCATTCAGTGAAGATACGCCGGAAAAAGCCGCACCCCGCCTTTTTCGTTACGGGCTCCGCCCACTTCTCCATTAAAGGCTGAACCGGAAAGCCTCGAAAAAGGGTCATTTTTGCCATTTTCATGCGCTGAAAAGCCCAGATATGGTTTCCTCATAGCGAGAAGTCTCCGAATAGGTGAGAAACTGAAAAGCGAAAATCTGCCGGGACGCTGCCTTTGAAGGGGTTGGATACTTAAACAAAGTAATATGTATTTAGTCAATAAAATCGCTTGCTAGAGAGTTCGCTGCTAATAAGAAGATCAAGCCTGCCGATTTCACAACCGAAGCATACGAAAGAAACGATGCAAAGAACAGGTTTGCAAACATCCTGTCTCATTTGGAGTTGTGCCGGATTATGCTGCTGCTCGAATTTCGTGTGTCAGCCTGCTTGGACCTCTTTCACTAGCGTGCTCTGATCATTTTCCAACATTCGAGCGTAAAAAGGGCAGAGTTCAATCGCTAATTAAGCGTGGTCCTTGCTGTGAAATTTGTTTTTCTCCAAAGCAGTGTTTGCATAAACCTACAAACTCCACAATTCTCTTTTTCCTATCTTTTCGTGCTTTGAGATGTAAGCTGCAGGCGTGTCCAAAATAGGAGGTAATTTAAACTGAAGAGGAAAGTGTGAAGCACCTTTTTTGCTGACTTTCTGTATAAATCAAACGCCTTGATCGCTCGTCTAAATGAGATACTTGCATTTGTGTGTGTGTTTTTTTCCAAAAGTTCAGACATTCTTAGACCCCGGGCAGACTTCACGCGATTTGATCGTCGCGACTCAGTCGCGACGAGACAACTGTTACAACATCATTCCATGCCGATCAACTTGCATTCGGTTATGATACTTTTCCAGCCCGAAATTTTTGAGTGTGAAATGAAAATGAATGGAAATCTTGGCGATTAGATCGCGACGGCTAAGTCGCGCGAAGTCTGACCGGGGCCTTACGCGGGTGAAGGCATTGCCTTGTCGGTAGGCAAAATTGTCTCAATCATCGCTCCCAATGCAGTACTTGCCTTCATTAGATTATAAAGATTGGAAGCCTTTCAAAGCCTTTTACTATGAGGTAGGACCTTCCTCTACTTCATTTAGACATTTTGAGATCGTTGCAAACGAGTGACAATCTCATTGTCTCTTCGAGCTGCAAAGCATGGCAAATTACTGTTTAGGTTATTAGCTACAGCATGAGGGCACATAAACGACATTAAACCCCCTTTTGCAGTTTTATGCATTGAGATCAAGAATTAAGAATTAGGCCTCGGGCATAATTCATTCAATTTTCGCGCTCCGAACTGGCAATTTGCCAGTTGTCTTCGAATGCTACACTAGCAGACCACAAATGCATACTGTGTATAACTTTCACAGATTGGTAAATGTCCTATTTCCTGTAAATTCGAGTGAGCTTACGAGTGCTATTAACAGCAGAACAACGAATGATGCCATTGTGTCGCGACTCAAATCGCGTTAACACCCGGGGCCTTCTAGCCAGCGTATGAAAAAGCGGTATTGTAGATACAACGACATAATATGCATTGATGCCACGAGAGTAGTTCTCAAAGACCGTTTACCGGAAGATGACTACATTCATGCTAGCTGGATGACAATGCCAGACGGACAAAAGTATATTTGTACACAGGTAAAATATCCACCATATCTTATACAATTACCTCAATAGTTTGCAGGGACCACTCTTGGAATGCGTTGGAGATTTTTGGCATATGATTTTAACAGAGAGAAGTAAAGTTATTGTAATGTTATGTAATTTTAATGAGGGTTAGTTAGCAGCACGTTTTTTTTTTCTGAAAACTCAAAGGAGACTCTGGATGTTCTGATTGTGAAAGCCGTTTTGATATCATTTGAGTAAGGCACTGTTTGATGCCTTTGTATCCAAAAATCATTACTGTATCAGACTCCGCTTGGATTCGTAGGTATTTGGCAAGTCGCGTCTCTCCGGAGCTCGCGGTTTGGCAGAATTTCGGAAAATATGCCCAGAATTTTGCATCAACACGTAGATAAAGTCGACTGGACGAAATCCAAACTCTAGCTTAGGGTAACCCCACCATGGTCAATCGTCCTTTTTTTTCTTTACTTGAGAAGCAGATTCTTGTTCTTCAAACTTTAGCAAGGCTGAGTTCATATTTTTTGCTTGCCTTGGTGATAAGGCCATCTCAAGGTACTATTTTAGGCGTAATAATTGTTGGTGTTGTGAGTATATGCCATCAGTGAAGCTATTTGGCCACCCATAAATTTCACTTCCTCCATTTTAGAACGCTAGTCCTCGAGTGCAGCGCAACAAATCGTTTACTATCGAGATCACTGCACTATCGTTCACCACTCTATGTGCACGAAGTTGAGATTACGTATGACGTTGTTAGCTTAGGGAATGATCTCGGCGGAGAGACGGTCAAGAGGTGCGATATCTCTAGCTGTCACAAACTCAAAACTTCAGTTTAGTGCTATGCGAATGTTCGAAAAATACCGGATAAAGTGCATCAGCTTACACTCCGCCTGAGGTTACCACTTGCCGAGTTTGGTGGCTTTTGCTGACAAATGGAAAGAAATATTTACGAATTTGCTCTTAGCTGCATTTTTAAGGGTTTTTGACCTTCAAAAGTGATGTTTTGAATCGATTCCAAGGTATTAAGATTGAACAATCCATGCCAAAATCTAATATATCTCCTCCTAATTTCAAATAATTTTGGAATATTATAAAACACTTATTATGCCCTATTCGGTGTCCATCTGTCATTAGAAATCGCGCCTCTGACATATCTCGGCGTGCGCAGAGCATGAAGTGATTGCTTAATTAATTGAACAGTAGCTTAAATGTCCTCTTTTCTTTGAACCTCGGCATTACAATAATATAGTTCTATTTGTTAGTTGTGCCAGCACGAGGTTTCGGCGAAGCCTTATTAGTAGAACGGCCTAACGTTTCGAGCAAACATCCTCGTCTTCAGAGGCCTAAAGTGGCGCGCGATTAATGATCTTATGTTTGTCCCACCAAACGCCTTGTCAACCCTGGCCAGTTTTTCGATCCTCCCTATGGATTTACTAGTGAAAATCAAATGGGATGACGAACTGACCGTGGCTCTACCGCTATCGCACCGATGGTAGTGTGCGACCGCCTTCTGGAATGAAGGAAAGAAGAAAGAAGGCGGTCGCACACTACCATCGGTGCGATAGCGGTAGAGCCACGGTCAGTTCCTCATCCCATTTGATTTTCACTAGTGAATCCATAGGGAGGATCGAATAACTGGCCAGAGTTGACAAGGCCTTTGGTGGGACAAACATAAGATCATTAGTCGCGCGCCACTTTAGGTATCTGAAGCCGAGGATTGCTCGATACGTTAGGCTGTTCTACTAATAAGGCTTCGCCGAAACCTCGTGCTGGCACAACTAACAAATAGAACTATAATTGAACAGTGTTTTTGCGCCAATTGCAGTAGCTCGCTGTAATTTAAGAAACCGTCCATTGAATACTACCATAATTGATCTTTCGATTAAGAAAGCTCAATAAATTGATGAATTATGGTAGTACTTACTTGGATATGAACTGTGGTGGCTCAATCATCTACTTATGTGAAAAACATTACCGCTATTCAAAAAAATGTTTTGCAGGAAAGCATGAGAAATGTTGCTTATACTTGCCTAAAGAAAAGAAAGAAGTAGGAAACTTTGGCGGATTTATTGTAGAAGTAAGGGATTGCAAGCCAGATCCATTCGAGGGAATCAAGCACACGGAACTCGACGTAAAATCTGGGTAATCGTCGACGTTTATCTTTCCGATGCGGTGGAGATAGTAAAAGTCAGCTGAAGTGAAGTAGTTAGGATTCGACGCTTATGATTTTGATCGAGCATCGCAACACAGTATTCTTTATCTGAACAGACGCATTTGCGGCGGCGTACGCATGCGGTGCCTGCCATTCTGTCGATGTGTAAATACGGTTTTCTATAAAAGTCTAAGTAAGTAACCTAGGTAAGTACAAAAATCGCTTCCATGCTCTTTTTGCGCAAAATAGGGGCGTTTTGCACCACCTTGCCTTATTCGAATTGAGCTCGTCATCGACATTTTCAAGGTGAGGTTTTTTTCGACATCGAGATTATCGCCTTGCAGAGATGACGACGGAAAAGGCTTCATCGTACATCATTTGGCAAACTTTGAATGGCCCGATCATACGGCCCCTCTAAACCCTGCACCTACTATTGGGATGTTTAAACTGAGTCGTACTTTGGCTGCTGGCAAACCGATCACAGTACATTGTTCAGCAGGAATTGGTCGAAGTGCCACATTTGTTGGTGAGACTTCCTTTAAAATAAGGCGCGTATTTGAATTTTTGCAATGTACTACTTTACTTTTCAGCCATTGACTACGCAGCACAGAAGATCAAAGCAAAAGCCGATTTTTCCATGGTTGATGTAATTCGAGATCTGCGGTCACAACGTTATCAAGCCATTCAATCAGCAATCCAGTACGTCTATCTCCACGTTTGCCTTCTGGAGTTATTCGCCAGTGTAAGTTCCATTTCCATGAAATTTTTGGGTAGCAGGATTTAGCCATCTTCTTGTAGGATAACGCCCTTCAAAGAGATAGCAAATTCAGCGAATACATGGACAGCTATGTGAGCATGATCAAACGTTATAATAAGAAAGTAGAGGCGAAACAACGTGAACGATCGAGATCCGAGGAGAAATAACGCTGTTCGAATTAAGTATTTTGAAATCTGCCAATTACGCTATAACAATGCTAATTCTAATTGTATTACGCAAAGTTCCCGAAAATAAGATCGAATGAATTTGATTGCTGTGTTTAATGCCTGATTATCATTGACGTTATGGCAGTGCACATTTACCACCGACAAAATGGGATGAAGGATAACAACTTATCTCGGCTCAGAAAAACAGAAGAGACAATTAAAACACTTTTATCAAATTCTATTTGCATGAACTGTTCATGTACTTGGTTGTATCTACTTGGTTCCATAAAGGTCATTTACACCTCTGGTTTCACAAGAAAGGACGATGTTTCAACGATTGCTGCTAACACACTAGCTGCAGATTCGCCATACTCCTAGAAATAATGATTTCACTGAACTCCAAACATCAATTTGCTATAGCACACCTGCTCATCCAACGGATGTCTCATAGCTCCAAAAATAACATAAAAGTGTCGGAATAGAGTGGATCCAGGTCCGTACAGACGGCAAATGTGCGCCAGCGTTTCGAACAAAGCGCTGTTTGGTTTATCCAACTTCGATATGAGCATGATTATAATGCGGGAAATCTAGGACGAATGGTGTTGTTCGTCATCAAAGCAAAAATCATACTCACAATAGGTAATAGTGCGCTTCCGCAGTTGCTGCAAAGCGAACGAATAGTTCCCAAAGAAGAATCTCGGATAGCCTCATCGTTCAGACCACTCTCAAGTACAGGTAAAAGAACACCTCGTACGATGTACTGAGCTGGAATGACGCTGTGTATCTTATGGTCAGACCAGGCGAATTTGAATTTGTAGTGAATTATAGCAAGCATAAACTTCAAAAAAAAACAGGAAACTCACCTTGCTTTGCATAAGCTAACGCTGATGAGTACGTATCGAAGAGAAGGCAGCACAGATCCTCACGCAACGAGGAAAGACCAAATGATTTCAACGGAAGAATTCCTGAATGATGCTGTGGCTATGGAACTGTTTCTTATTGTTTTAACAACTTCAAATATTACCAAAATCTGCACGTACCATTACGCTCTTCCTGAGAGACCAGTCTTGGGGTTAACGAAGCGGCCAACGTGTTCAAAAGCCTTTCCAACATTTGATCATCACATCCATAACGAATGGAGTAGATTTCAATGGCTAGATCTCTAGAATTTCATTTAGTTATCATGCATACAAATGAAGTGGCAGCCTATGCAGCCAAATGCAACGTGCACTAGCATACCTCGAATAACTAATAAGTCCGAGTCTCTTAAAATCCTACTTTATAAAAGCAAGACACAAATGAAATTAAAAGAAGTCCATGCAATCGCAAGTTCTGCCCACATGTATGAGCTCGGTCAAGAATCAACCTTGAGAGATAGACAAAAATACCGACAGTTTACACAAAATTTCCAAGTTACAATGAAGGAAGACTTATGACATAACCTTGAGATATATTGACGAAAGCGAAAATATTGGAAAAAAATGAGACGCCCCGCTTCGAAATGCTTTCAGCATTCCTTTCTCGAAGCAGCAGACCCAGACCAAAGGTGCAAACTCAAACATAATGCGTAGTATTCCTAACCATGCTCACTACCTATGAGTTTTAATGCATCATCAAGAATCCTACAAACTGAGCTACATGTTACTTCAAAAATAAACAATCATTTTCAGCCAATGTTTGAGAAGATCAAGAACAAATATGGTACCCAAGGTAAAGAACGAGAATTACCAAATCACAAGCAGATGTAAACGTATAAGTGTATGGTAATGAATGGTAAACGTGCCTCAAAATAGCATCATTGCTGCTCAGAGCCATATCGATCAGACGCATAATGATACTGAAAATCACATCAGCGTGAAGATTTCCCACCTGAATACAAGGACTGGTTCACAGACAGAGGAACTGCATGAAAACAAGGGCTAAGTGAAGTGGAGCGACATTGTCTCACCTGCGGATTACGTATGAGCAGTTGCCTCAAGAAGAGTCCACCATATACTGTAGCATTATTCTTAACATCCACCAATTTCTTTCCCAGTCTAGACTGAGCAGCTCGTAGGCACTGCGGGCTACATCTAAAATAGTTTTTGATGCTAATTTAATTACGCACTCTGTTAGCAGAAAGTTTCAGACTTCAAGAACAAGAATTTCAACAAACATATACAGAAAACAAGGTTATTTAATCCACATACTTCTCAAGAATCCGCGTCAGCAGAAGGTATCCTAACGAAATTGTTTTGTTGTCGCGATCTGCTCGAACTAATGGAAGGCATTTTTCAATAACCTAAACAATGTCAGTGCCAGCTCAGAAAGGAACGCAGTGTTCACAGAGTGAGTAATTCTCCAGCTCCTACTACAAGCGTAATAAGCAGTGACACAAGCTTTAGAATGGAACATGACAATGAGCCAAAATGTGGGAACCTATACGCTCAAAAAATTCCAAAGTAAAAGGGACTAAAGGACAGCTCTGGGAAACTGTTCGAAGAAACACAAAAGGAAGCAATTACTGCATACCATGAAAAATACAAAGCCTTACCTGAATCTGTTTCTCTTCCGTACAATTCAGTTCACATTCTTCTGCTAACCTCTCCATACCTGACGAGCAAACATTGTAGTAGCTATTCGAAATTATGCAAGTATAATATCGATGGAGCTGATGGGTACACGATAAACAAAGCAAGAAGAAAAGTTTATCTCTACATGCAGCCACAAGCAGTTCATAGAAACCTTGATCCAGGCAAACTTCTCTATTCTACCCTCAATCTACATAGTTTAGGCGGAAGCCATTTCCTTGCGTTGCTTTCGCATCAGAAGTCGTCGCTCACGTTCAAACTCCTGCAAAACGGTAAGGATCCTGTCTTTAAACAAAAAGGTTATATTCAAAACCTCTGAGGGAAAGAAACATGTAATAACATTGATTTGAAGACATAAAAACGAAAATAGCCCAAATGAGTTTAGAAAATAAGAGAGAACCACTGGAAAATTTGGGAAGTAGTGGAATAACTTACCTTAATGCGCATGATATAGTCGTCGTATTCACACTTGTCCCATGTACCTCGCTCCGTATCGCACATGTGTCCCGCGAAAGGCGCGTACTGTTTCTGAAAAAAGATGCAGCTGTTTTCGGTACATAGGAAGGAATGAGTTCAGAAAATAAGAGAGAGGATTTTCGCAAGCAGCTCACTTGACACTTGATCAGGGCGATTAAATGATGGGCACAATAATCCCGTTGGCCTGGCTTCAAATCATATTGATTCATTTCTTCCCACGTGGCCTTCATTTCTCGGACCTAAAAAGGCTTAAATTTGATAAGACATCAGCAAAGTCTGCATAAAAGTTGCAGAGAGAATGTTTTTGCTAGAACTTACCTTTCTCGGCCTCTCGAATCCAGCTTGGGGATCAAACGTGGGTGGGCGATCGACTCGTGGTGCTATTTCGGGATGCATTGTATTTTCAATCGAAACAGACATTTTAGTCCCCATGGCTACTCTAAACGAAAAGTTAGATGATATTACAAATCAAATGCAAATGAGTTGAGCGATGGACGCTCCTGTTATACGTGCAGATTGACAAATTAGTAAGGAAGAATAGGAAGATAAGGGTGGAAAAAGTTGCTAATGGCGGCAAAAGATAGTGATAAATGTCCCAGTGCCTCTGTGACTCCTTCCAAAATACTTGCTATTCTCTTCTAAATTCTGAATACATGCACAAATACCGACTTTTTGATTGAAGTCCATATTCCAAATGGACTGAAGTTTTAAACGTTGAAACTCGACTTCACTTTCTTCACCTACTTCGCACAGAATAATTTATCCTTACTATATCAAAAAGGTATCTAGACGATTTTATATACGGCGATTTTCTCTCTCCCCTTGCAAATCGATGCTTTGGAGAAGGAAGCAATTTGAAAAAAAACCCTTTGTTGAGTAGTTGGCCAATGGTGATCGCTTCAGCAAAACAAACACTTATGTAAAATCTCAAAGTGAAAGAAAATTAAAAAGTTTTCCCTTTTGAAAATTTTCTGAGATTTTGTCGAACGTATTTACGCAGTGACAGCATTTAGACCGCGACGATGTTTTGTGAATCTGACGCCGCGTACATAATCTAATTCAGAATTTTTTGCCGGTAAAATCTTCAAGTTTCTGTGTTCCCGAAAAGTTCTCCACTTCCTGAGATTTAAAAGGTGGTTGGCAGTCAACCACCTGGCAACAATGGAGGTAAGCTTTTTTTTAGAATATGAAGTCCTAACGCGCAACAAATCATCAGGTGCTGTAGATCAGTTTATCATCTTTGATTGCTCAACTCCTCCAAAGTTCAGCGCTAAATCGTCTTTGACAATTGTGTGGTGTTTATCAGCATCGCATGTGTAAAATTCAACTAATCAATTATTGCCGTTTTGCACGTCGACAACACAGACGGCGGTGTGGTCGAGGATCATTCCACCAAGTGCAGTGTCGTCTGCCAGGCGAGCGAACAATTTTTTCTCCCCGTTCACATTGATGACGTTGTAGTTTCAGCGGAACACTTCCGAAAGAGAGTGTTGATTCGCACGGAAACTGCTACGGGCACCTCTAGTCGTTTATAGAGTTGACAGGTGGCCGGTCACGTAAGATTTATCACAGAATTGCTCCGCTTATGTCTCCCAGCCGATTTTGAAGGACTTCTTTTAATTTCATTTGTGTCTTGCTTTTATAAAGTAGGATTTTAAGAGACTCGGACTTATTAGTTATTCGAGGTATGCTAGTGCACGTTGCATTTGGCTGCATAGGCTGCCACTTCATTTGTATGCATGATAACTAAATGAAATTCTAGAGATCTAGCCATTGAAATCTACTCCATTCGTTATGGATGTGATGATCAAATGTTGGAAAGGCTTTTGAACACGTTGGCCGCTTCGTTAACCCCAAGACTGGTCTCTCAGGAAGAGCGTAATGGTACGTGCAGATTTTGGTAATATTTGAAGTTGTTAAAACAATAAGAAACAGTTCCATAGCCACAGCATCATTCAGGAATTCTTCCGTTGAAATCATTTGGTCTTTCCTCGTTGCGTGAGGATCTGTGCTGCCTTCTCTTCGATACGTACTCATCAGCGTTAGCTTATGCAAAGCAAGGTGAGTTTCCTGTTTTTTTTTGAAGTTTATGCTTGCTATAATTCACTACAAATTCAAATTCGCCTGGTCTGACCATAAGATACACAGCGTCATTCCAGCTCAGTACATCGTACGAGGTGTTCTTTTACCTGTACTTGAGAGTGGTCTGAACGATGAGGCTATCCGAGATTCTTCTTTGGGAACTATTCGTTCGCTTTGCAGCAACTGCGGAAGCGCACTATTACCTATTGTGAGTATGATTTTTGCTTTGATGACGAACAACACCATTCGTCCTAGATTTCCCGCATTATAATCATGCTCATATCGAAGTTGGATAAACCAAACAGCGCTTTGTTCGAAACGCTGGCGCACATTTGCCGTCTGTACGGACCTGGATCCACTCTATTCCGACACTTTTATGTTATTTTTGGAGCTATGAGACATCCGTTGGATGAGCAGGTGTGCTATAGCAAATTGATGTTTGGAGTTCAGTGAAATCATTATTTCTAGGAGTATGGCGAATCTGCAGCTAGTGTGTTAGCAGCAATCGTTGAAACATCGTCCTTTCTTGTGAAACCAGAGGTGTAAATGACCTTTTATTTTCTATGTTTTTGTGAATTCATGTGATTTAGTCTTAAAATAGACAAGTTTATCATTCATCAGCAATCATCCAGACTACAAAACTCATACCCTGTTTGTCATTTAGGTTTTGATGTCGGTTCAACGAAAGATTTGCGAAGAAATCATAAAGAATCCTAGTTCTCCCTCTTACTGCAGAATTCTGATCGCATTTCTGAGCTGCACTCACGAAGTTGTTCCTCCTCCTGTGCATGTGAGGCTGTAACCTTTGTCAATTCCGATTTTGCTGAACCATTAGGTTTTCAGGTTGCACGAACAGTTCTAGGAAGATGCGTTGATCCACTTCAGTCGCAGCATCTCCGCGCTCTTTGCGATACTATCTCTAGGCCGCGAATTCAGGTACATATCAGTTATGTCTTATCACTATGTTAAAAAAAACATACCGGCTCTTTTTCCGCAAGTCTCTTCTAAGTGAGAAATGGAAGCGGCATTATTGTATTAGATGCCCTCCTGCAGTTTTAGTATACTGGCAGTTGTAAGTTGCGATGTTGCTATATGTACCACCAATATTTTTGTGGAAGCACAGCTTTTCAGAAGGTCATGACCAGAAATACCAGCTCAGAATTTGTTCTACCTCCACTTTCAATTTTTTCCGCCATCTCTTTTCTTTTCAATTTTGCCATATGACGATGCTTGCAACAGTCTTGGTGAATCTGACTCTCTGTCAGTTCGGCAGCTCTTGATTGATTACGAAAATAAAGTCATTAAAAACTCTCGATGAATGCTTTCCTGATTGTCGCTTGGTATCATTGTGAACTTGCAATCATGTTTTTCTGCCGTAATTTTCTACCTTATCGACTGAAATCTTGACAAAATCGGATCAAAGCTACCATGAGCAGTACCACTTTGCAGTCAGATCACCATAGATCCTCCAAGTAAATCATATTTGGAAACAAATTTAAATCCTGAAGTTTATAAACTGTTTTTCGACTCATCTGGTATATAATGAATTGTAAGGTGCATTCAAAAATCATCAGATAGCGGGAAACCGAGCGGGTCTCGAAGCGAGCGCGCCTTCTAGCACCTTTGAGATTTCTGGTTCACTAGTTTTAGAATCTGGCCAGCCATGAAGTGATACGTCGTTGTGATGTAGAAATGCAAGAGTCGAGTGATCATCTCGAGAAAGAGCAGGCATGTATCCGTTTTTCTTGAACTACTCGTTTAGAGAGAGGTTTCAGTCGAGCAAGTCAATGGGAATTGGTAACGAAGAATCAGTTCCTCTTCATGAACATATTGAAGAAGTAAAGCAGAGTTCAATTGTGTGCGAAGAGCTTATGGACGATACGGTTGTTGAGATTCAGAAGACAATGATAGAAGCAGGAACTGAAAAGTCTGTGGTTTTGGAAGAAGAAGATAAGGCACACAAGGAGATGGTACCTTCATAAAATACAATCTGCGCTTTTTGCAACTTAATTCAGAAACAGCAGATGGTGACAGTCCCGGATATCAAAATTAGTAATCCTTCTTCTACCGCAAGTGATTTACCGAGTTCATCAAATGCCAGCACCACAGTAAACTCCGCCTCAAGAGTCGAAAGCACTTCTACAGAGGAGCCTGTGTTGAAAAAGGCAAAGTTTATGAAGAAGAAGAAGAAATCTGTTGAGGTAAATAGAACTGTAGTCTAGGTCGATATGATTTCTAATTAGCGTTTTCAGAATACCATGTTAGCTGAGGGTGAAGCATCTGTCGAGGAAATCCTGAGTACATTCTGCCCTGAGTAGTGTGTATTGATGGCTTTCTGAATGTTATTCTTTACATTGTTCATTGTTATTGTTGTCATCAGTAAAAACCATGAATGCTTAGTTTATTTCACGTTTGAGACAGGAAAAATTTTCCAGTGCCGTCAGAGTTGAATGGTTGATATGTTTAGTACCTTGCGTAGATGACAACGCTGAGCTTGAGAAATATCAATGGGAGTGACTTGGAAATGTGCTCGCTGTGGGATTTTTTACGAGTGAATCTTTTCGGCGTTACGAGCATAGCAAATCTTATTTTATCTCAAAAATCAAGAGGTTTTCAATTACCGTAAAACCGAATGTCGTCCAAAAATCCTGCAAATTTCCCATTTACTCATCATATAAGTAGCAAAGTAAGTAAGTACATCAGTTGCTGGATATTTTTAAGGCGCTTGAAGAACAGGAACAAAAGTAAGCTAGTTCGAAAAATCGCATTTCCAGATCTTTTGTGCTAGATATGATATTCATGGTTACACTTCAAAAGGTTGCGTGCAATCATATATGTGAGACCAGCGCGAAGTTGTGTTTGGCAGTTTTTGGCTATTAATGTTGATTTATATAAGAGAGGAATATGAAGCGAATGCATGTAATAAATGTGTGTGTGTTTATATTCGAAGTGTAGGAGGTTTGTAGTTTTGGAGGCATTCAATGTTTATAAATTTTGGCTTCAAATTTCACGCAGATCATGATTTACGCGGGTAGAAGGTACTATTCATTCTTACAAGGAATGCATGCTTAGTCGAAGTGGCCTTTTCAGGTGGGATGTACACCATACTGAAGGGCATAAAATGGTGATTCCAAATTTGCCTTTCTTATCTGCAGAACGTTCACGGACGAGAAGTTATGAGCATTTTTTGGAGCCAAAAATTGAATGTGCATTTTGGATAAAATGAGTTGCTAAAATCTTAATAGCCCTCAAAAAATGCAATCAAGAGTGGTATATTCTTTATTTTAGAGTGTGTTTTGATTAGAGTGCTCTGATGATCATTACTGTTACATTGAAGATTTGGAAAAATCACTAGGCTATTTTTGTCCTACTTGCACATTCAATGTTTTGCTCCAAAAAGCGCTCATAACTCCTGGTCCAAAAACGTTCTGCAGATGAGGAAGGCAGTTTTGGGATCAGCATTCAATGCCCTTTAATATGGTACACATCTCATTTTTAAAGGCCATTTCGACTAAACAAGCTTCTCTTGTAAAAGAGACGAGCACACTTTGCTTACGTCTGATTAACAAGTTCATAAGCGCGTCCTGACGCGTTTCGAATGATTTATTACTGTAATTAGTGAAGGAATATGTTCGAGCTTGTTAAAGGCAGCGGCTCGGCAGATTTTGCACTTCCATCTTTTTGCATGCTTTGGGCCTTCTCGACCCGTAGATCCCGAATCTGGGCTTTAAAAGAGGTGAAAAGCCTTTTTCGGGGCGTTTTTTTCAATTTCCAAAAGGCAGCTCGGACGAGAATTTTTCAAAGGAGAGTCGGGAGGACCTGGCACGAAGACCCTGGTGCCTGTAATTATGGCTTTGTATAGCATGCACAATGCGGGAAAGCGGTTGGGGGGTCCCGCGCCGTCTAGCGGAGAATACTCGTCCGAACAAGGTGTTGGGGGAGCGAAAGGAGGAAGGGGAGCGACGCTTGGGCCGCCCCCCTGGCTTGCAGAGTTTACATTTTCGGCCCGGAGTTGCTCTTTTGGTTCACTTGGAGGGCCTCCTATCCATCTGTGTCAAAATCTAAGGTAGGTCTATTCTGCCGAGCCGCTGCCTTTAACAGCGAATTCGAGCATGTTTTTTTCACAATTTTCAGATGATAATCAATAAAAACACATTAGAACACGCTTACGAACTTTTAGACGTACGCGAGGCGTGCTCGAGCATTTTACCAGGGAAGGCAGCTTGGTCGAAGGCCATATGGGAAGTGATGCTGGGTAGACAGCTCTTTAAACCCTGATCTCGAAACTGCTTTCGCTTGCGAAGCATTTCTGTAAAAGGAGTTATGAGCCTTTGTTTTCCCCAAAATGGCCTTCAATTCGCGGCAGGGAATTTTGTTGTGGCGGCGTGGTGTAGTGGTGAATGGACGCGGTTTACAGATGAATGAACATGATTCGAGCTTTGTTGTAGCCCAGCGTTTTCGTTTTTCTAAAATTATTGCTTGCCTTTAAAAATGCCACATAAGGACGGCTTTTTATAGTGTTTTTACACTATAAAAAGCCGTCTTTATGTGGCAGCCTGTGCGTTGATAATCCAAAACGTGCTTATTCTTGCCGACACTTGTAAAATTGACGAGAGATTGGCTGTTCAAATTTTATGTCTTTTTTGGACTTTCCCAGAACACCTTCTTATCTGTAGCTAAAAAGGTGTTCTACAGTTGACCACAAAAATTGATCAGCTGTAGCGAGTTTGCGAAACTAGTTTCAAAAAAAAATCAAAACTACTGGGCAACAACAGGACCCGAAATCTGTCCACTCGTCTGTGAACCCCATCCGAACACCGCTATACCACGCCGCCACAACAAGAATGCCTTGCCATGCTTTGATAGAGGAAAGGCCGTTTTTGGGAAAAACGAAGGCTCAGACTCTTTTTACAGAAACCGCAGATAATGAAAACAGATAGATCAGCGTTCGAGGGACTATCTACTTATATGCATCAATACCCTATGGCCATTTCGTTGAGTTGTCTAGACTCCATCTTTGCCTCCAGACTCATTTGTGAGAAGCTCCGTACATTTGTCCAAGTGAGCCCTGCTGTTAATTTGCACTACCGTAAGCATCGACATAAGCAGTGCGTACTGTAGAGGGGTAAAGGAACGAACTCGGCTAATAGGCGTCGACTACCGATTTTCATACAGTATCATTAGCAACTGATACGGACCCTTATGGAGCGACGATGACTGCCAGACGTTCCTCTACTAGCAGGTCGAGTCAGACACACTATTAATCCTCCGAAAAAAGCTCTAAACCACTCTACCATTTATTTATAGGCGATTCATTGCACGCACAGACTGGACGAAAGAGAAATCGATCAGAGAGACGCCGACAGAGTCCGTAGTGACACCTTGTCTATGCGTGCCATGAATCGCCTGTATGTTTGTACCCCACCGTAGTGGCGCTTTAAGAAGACTGTATGAGATCTCAAAGTTTTATAGACCCAAGATTATTGAGAAGGGGCAGGATAGTCATGTGGATTTATTTTTTGCAAACTGGTGTCAGCTTTTGAATTCTCCAATCGTATTCTGAACCTGTCGACCGAGAAAATGTGAGCTCCAATGTTTTTGATTTCTCACATATTCAATCTACAGTTTTTCAAAGCCTCACTCCATGTGGTTGTCTGGGAGAATCAATCAACCACCTTCGATGTTTACCCAAGATGTATTGTTGTGATGAATGACTGGTAGAATGTTATTGCTAGGTTGAATGAGAGTTCATTTGTTCAATTACGTTGCTAGAGCAGTGCCTCTCTTCCAAGATGATGTCCAAAGCAAGTCAACTGCAATGAAGCGTCTCGCAGGCTTTACTATTCGACCTTTTTCAGCTGTTTCTCGGCAGATTCTTCAGAGACAGGAGGAAAAAACGAGAAGGTACGATCATAAGATATCGTTGAAAATCGTGTTAGTTCTCGGACATAGTTCAAGCGATTTCATCGCCTCGCGATTCTCCCAACAAGGCAACTTTTACGTGTCCCTGCATACCCATCCTCCTGCATGTCGGTCGCGAAAGTTTTCCGACACAACTAATCGTGGCTGACTATCGTAGCCAAAATACAAGGTGATAGATATGCAATGAACTTGTGGCAGCTAGTTTGTTTGGAGTATCGTGAGGCGGTGAAATCGCTTGAACTACGGGGCCTTGTGCAAAATGAGAAATCGTTAAAGTGAAAGGTTATAAAGTGATCATCAAATTTTCCTTCGATGCTAAGTAGCACTTGATCTTTGAGAGAAGGATCGGCATTCGAAATCATTGTCAAAATTATTAATCGTGCGCCAACCTTTTCAAGACGAGTAAACGGATTGTAGCGCGGTGTTAGGTGCCCCTAATTTGCTCTTGTACCAAATCATCAAACCCGGAAGGCTGGGCAGTTCTGTTCACCCTGAGTGCTATAGAATTTTAATGCCAATTATCCCACAAGTCCAAACACATTTTTTGGCCAGAGGTACCCGTGAGTACGAAAATCGACAATAAGTAGCCTTCAAACTGAGCAACTTGATCTCAAGGGGCATTAGGATGTGGTCGGACAGCTCTGACAATCTCGAATTATAATGATGAATTCGGTATCACATCAACCATGCTAACACCAAAGCCTTCACTTCTGAGAGTGAAAAGTTAGAAGGTGGTGAGTCTTGGAAGTATGATTGGTTCCAAGATCGTGTAGAGGCGGGTTACGGACTTTCCCTGATTATAAGGATGGAATAATGCTTTTTCGTTCTCTCTCGCTATCAAAAACCGCCACGCTTTGAGCTGCCACGACTCCGCCTCTGTACGGATCGTGAAGCCGATGATATTTTGAATCAATCACGACTGAATACTACGACATCACGATTGAACGTTGTCTTGCTGATATAAACGGGACCCTTCACTTGCTCCTTCGAATCGGTGAAACGGCGCACCGATCAGAATTGGGGAGATTCAAATACCGCCTCTGGTAAGCGCTAAAACTGCACGATGCCGAGACAGTGTGCCCGTTGGATTGAACTGCTTCATACCATAACAAGAGCCGTATTCTGCGCGGTAGATACATCGCCGTCGTTTGCAATTTATATAAGAGTACACAGGGCGTGTGGTTCTGCCTCACCTTTCACTCTGTGCATCATGGGTAAACAATAGTAATAACCATGGACGCTTCAAGTGTCGTTTGAAAGAAATCGAACTGGCATCTGAACGGCAAGAATACCGAGGATGCGACAGCAATATGGAAGAAAGCTTATTCGAGTAGGGATTGTGCCTGAACGTCGGCAAGATAGTGTGGTACTTGTAGGACTTGACCACCAACGGGTAGCCCTCCATAAGGTAATCATCAAACTTTAGCAGACTTGTGGCGGATTAAGATGCTTGCTTGTTAATAGATTATCTGCTT